CGAAGCTGAATTTTAAATTATTTCAAGTAATTTTCCATTGTAATATATAACTTTATAATTAGCACTTACTGGGATCAACAACCAATCTGGTTCCACTTCCAAAGATGATCCTATTTGCAGTATTCACACAACATGAGACTCCATAACACAAACTCAGCAGTCACAAACTGAACCAAACTCCATTTAAAAAAAACATGCTTTTTGCAGCTGAGACGCTCATGTCTCCAGACTCTACCTTTAAAATAAATAAATATAGGTATTTATTATAACTATGTTGTAAATATTAAATATTATGATGACAAAGTTTTTTCATCTTTTTTTTTTGCTGATGATTCTTCATTAGGGGTTCATCTAAAGATCTAGTGTTCTAATTTGAATCAGTTTAGCAACTTTTCAACATATATGTATTTTTCACTTTAAAACATGCGTCAGCTGCTTTTCAAGAATCTTAGGATTTGACTTTTAGGATCTGTAGGAGCACTTACTGGATTCAATGATTACTCTGGTTCCACTTCCGAAGAAGATCTTAAACCCACTGCCATCAGTCACACAGCATGAAGCTCCACAACACAAACTTCAGACTTCATTTAGAAAAACCACCACCGAGAAATGTAGTCCAAACTTAAATATTGTCATTTAAATAAACAGTTTGATCCTTTACATATAAGATCGACCTGATAAATTTAAAAAAACTATTATTTACATGCTCCCACTAACCCTTAGAACCCCAGCTGCATAAATTAGACACAAATTTGATTTAAAACAAATGAATACTACAAATATTTTCATTATTTCAATGATAATAATTGCACTGATGTAACCTTCTTTAGGTCTTTCTTTTAGTTGGATTCTGCAAGTTTTTTTTTGTTCATTTCTGGTTCTGACTTCCATTACTATTATTATTATATTGGCACAAACACTTGCTTTTAATTCAAATATTTATGATCAATATCAGCACTTATTGGTTTCACTGGTTAATCTGGCTCCTTTTTTAAAAAACAGCCTTATTTGAAGCATCAAATTATTCACACAATTTAAATCTATTTAACAAACTCAGATGATGGTGAACTGGACCAAACTCCATTTAGAAAAGCATGAATTTTACTCCTATGTGTTTCGCTACATTGTTTTAAATTCAAAATTCTGTTGTATTCCCTTAAATATGCAGGTTTTTGGCCAACAGTTAATGTCAATGATGGAATTTTTATATCTTCAGATACATTTGGTTGATGTATTTGATTACTATGATCACACACTTCGAGGCAGTTTTTTTGATTTTGTAGGACCCACACAGTGTTAAATGTGTTCAGCAAAAATATATGTGTGATCTGTATGAGGACTTACTGGGTTCAACAGTTAATCTGGTCCCACTTCCAAAGATGATCTTGGTTTGAGTCACACAACATCACAGACCATGACATAAACTGGACCAAACTCCATTTAGAAAAACACGGTTCAAATTCAAATTCCATTCTCAGGAATATCCAGGCGTTGAATTAAGACTAAATGTACGTATGCTAAATGCACATTTGTTAGAACTTAAATAGACATTTACTGTACAGCAATATTAATGAATAATTTAATACTTCTGATGTATGTATTTAATTATCAGAATCACTTATTTTAAACAATACAGAAACAATATTTATGATTAATATCAGCACTTACTGGATTCAATAGTTAATCTGGTTCCACTTCCAAAGAAGATCTTGTTTTGATTCACACAACATGAAGCTCCATCACGCAAACTCTGAACCAGACTCCATTTAGAAAAGAACTGTTTCTACATTTGAGATTTTCTTAAACGATTCCATCAGTCACATTAATTAAGCTACTTTCTTTAATAAAAGCAGTAATTCTGACCAACAAGTCAACGTCCACTCAGTGCGGTTTTGTCTTAATTATCTATATTGCGGTTTTGTTTGTTTGCCTCAAGAGTAAATATAAGATTTATTAGCACTAAATGGGTTTTGTCGATAATCTGGTTGTTCTTTTAAAATTCATCATGTTTTCTTTCATTAAGCACCACGACAAAGACTCATCAGCAAAGTGCACCTAAGTTCATTCAGAAAAGGTACGATTCACATAAATAGAACAAGGTTACTTTTAAAGATGCCCCACAATCATAACATTTATAAACTATATGAGCACTTACTGGGTTCAACGGTTAATCTGGTTCCACTTCCAAAGATCAGCTTTAATCCACCTCCATCAGTCACACAGCATGAAACTCCACAACACAAACTCAGCAGAGACCAACTGAACCAAACTCCATTCAAAACGTTTGCACCTGAATATTAACATTTCCTTTTAAAAAGAGCTACAAATCAAATCTATCAAATGCAGCCATTTGGTTTCTCTAATTTAATCTTCTGTTTATATTCAAGGCTTTTGCATGAATAGTTACTTCTCAGTCACAATGAAAAACAATTGTCTACGGTAATATAAATAAAAATGTTTGTAAATTACATGTATGATTAGTACTCACTGGATTCAACAATTAATCTGGTTCCACTTCCAAAAAAGACCCTATATCCACCTCCAGTAGTCGCACAACATGAAACCTCTCAACACGAAGTCAGCAGAGACCAACTGAACCAAACTCCATGAAAAAAATAAATAATTTTTACATTTGTGACTCTGATATAAAATACCACCACATTATACGTTTAGTCATAAATGAATCTGAAATGTTAATATCCTGCACTATTTGTTGTCGTAGAATTTACTTCTTAATAAATTTTGCGTTCATGTAAGTGAATAATATGACAAAGTCGAGGATCACAGGTAATTATTTTCTATTGTTGAGCCTAAAGTCTCAGACGAAGCAGTGGATCACTGTCAGCAGCTTTTTATGTTCTTTATCCACTTTTCTGCTTTTGCATATATACATCATTCAAAATCTACAATTCTTCAGCTCAAGAAACTGTTTTTGAAGATTTTGCATATCCAACATTTCTGATCAGATCAGCACTTACTGTGTTCAATAATTAATTTGGCTCCACTTCCAAAGATCGTCTTAGTTGCGCCTCCAGCATTCACACAACCCAACGCTCCATAACACAAACTCAGCAAAGTGAAGAACTGATTTCATTTAGATAAACTGATTTTTTTTGCATTTATCCACTAAAAACAACATAGATCTTAAGTAATTTGTGTATTTTGATCTCTACAGCAGGCATCAGAATTGTTTGATTCTACTTGATTCCATCGTGTCCAGTTCAGGTTGACTTTGTGAATCATTTTTGTGCATTATTATGGTTTTGTGTGTTAACCCATTTTTAAAGTTTTCTTTTAAAGCTCCTCTATATAAAATAATAATCATCTCTACTTACTGGGTTCAACGATTAATCTGGTTCCACTTCCAAAGAAGATCTTGTTCTGATTTGCACCAGTAGTCACACAGCATGAAGCTCCATAACACAAACTCAGCAGTGAGCAACTGAACCAGACTCCATTTAAAAAACTGGACTTTTTTAGACCAACAGAATTATTAAACTCTTGTCACATGAATAAGTTGCCGTTTTTTGTAAAACATTATTATCCATTTTAAGTATGTTATAAATTGCATGTTAATTCTGATATTTACTGTGCAGTCGAGATACTGTTTAAATTGTATTTTGATTTTGTGTGTAAAGTTTTGTTTTAAAGCTGGTCCACAAAACTATTGTTGATATTTGTCGATTTCATAGTTTTTATAATGATACCTGATAAACAATTTTTGCAGCCAAGATGTTTGTCTCAAGTCATTTTAAACATTCACATTTCATAAAGCAGCTACATGCTAAAATTGAATGAAATAGACTTAGTTTCTCATATAACCCTCATTTTGCATTTGAGACTTTTAGTTTAAAAAAGCAGCTAATTGTTGTGGCTGGAAAGTAATTATTCACGTGAAACAAACTCTACATTATAGTAGGTTTTGTAAATTAAGTATATATTTACAGTGCAATCCAGCAGAGCAACATTTTCATGTTTTTGAATTTGACTTGAAAGCATGACAATAAAAATAAGGAAACTTTGACATATTCATACATGTTTTATACAGATAACTGGAAATAAACTCAATTTTCGCTGGACTGTTCTTGGACTATTCTCCACAACAATAATAAAGATCATATTTAGAGGTGATCAATAGCAGCACTTACTGGGTTCAATGGTTAATCTGGTTCCACTTCCAAAGATCATCTTATCTGCAGCATTCACACAACATGAAGCTCCATAACACAAACTCAGCAGTGAGCGACTGAACCAAACTCCATTTAGAAAAATGTTGTTTTTACATAAAACGTTCGATCCACCTAAATAACTGTTTTATTATTTTCATTAGAAATAATTAACACGCATATTAATTAAAGTAAGACTGTTGATATTTACTGTTTTAGTGTACAGCAGACTCTGAACTAAATGTTGTGATTAAAGACTTTCAGTTTGTTACTACACTCCAACGGAAGACTTTTTAGAATGATAAACTGAACCAAGCTCCCTTTAAAACAACATGCTTTTTACAGCTGAAACTCATGTCTCCAGACTCCACTTTTCTAATTAATAAATATAAATATTCACCATAAATATACAGTAAATATTGATTATGATTGAAAAGTTTTCAGTCTGGCGATGATTCTTCATTTGGAAATTCATCTAAACATTGTTTTCGTAGCTCCTGACAGGTTTATTCTCTGCTTTGTGCCAATTTTATCAGCTTGAATCAGTTTAACATTGTTTTCATCAATTAATATGTCTGGTGTTTAATCAGTACACTGTGTCTACTTTTTTCTTTATCTTCTTCTTTTAAAGAATCGTGTCAAAATGTATCATCAATATTAAAACTTACTGGGTTTAACAGATAATCTGGTTCCACTTCCAAAGATGATCGTATATCCACCATATTCACACAATCTGAGGCTCCACAACACAGACTTGGTGGAGCAATGAGCTAAACCAGACTCCATTTTACAGTTTGTTTAAAAATACATATATATATCCATTAACTGAAGACATGAAGCTACTTTATATTAATTCTGATTAATAATGTCTAATTTTAACATTTAGGTTTATATTACTATGATTAAAACATGTTGTCTTTTTAAACCTTCTAGGTACGTCGGAGTGATGAAAACTGCAGCTTAATCCTGACTAGACCTTAGAATCCAGGAAAAGTTTGGACATTTTTCCACCTGATTATGATCAATATCAGCACTTACTGGCTTCAGTGATTAATCTGGTTCCACTTCCAAAGAACATCTTGTATTGATTATTTCCAGTCACACAGCATGAAGCTCCATAACACAAACTCAGCGACCAACTGAGCCAAACTCTATTGAAGAAAACATGAATTTTTCGGCCACATAAAAAACTGCTTTCTCTGCACTAACTAAATATTTTAGTGCTGATATTCTTCATTGATTGGCAGGTTTTTCTTATTAACATTATTATTATTATTATTATTATTAACAAGCTCATGAGGGAGTCTAAATTTTTAGTTTTCTATACAAACAAATAACACTCATCAACACTTACTGGGTTCAATGGTTAATCTGGTTCCTCGGCCAAAAATCAACTTGTATTGACTCGTAGCAGTCACACAACAGGACGCACTATGACACAAACTCATCAACAGAACAAAGCTCATTTAGAAAACCTCTGTTCTTATGACTGAAAGCCGCTGTTTTTATGTAAATTGAACTGTAAGATTAAATACTAACATTGACTGAACATTATTCAAATGTTCATGTACTCGATTATCATCATCACAACAAAATATGATTATTTTATGGTTGTATCAGACTGAATAATATGTTTTCTACCCAACGATAAGATTAAACTGAATTTTTCTTCATTTGTGCACAAAAAGCCAAATTAATCATTTCCATCTCTGTCCAGGTAATCACAGAATTAATACAAAGTTACTACAACAACCGGACGACTGCTTTATGAAATACATAGAAAGTTAAATCCATATAAATAATGTTAATGATCAATGTCAGCACTTACTGGCTTCAGTGATTAATCTGGTTCCACTTCCAAACAAGACCCTAGATGCACCTCCAGTATTCACACAGCATGAAACTCCACAACACAAACTCAGCAGTGATGAACTGAACCAAACTCCATTTAGAAAATCAACATTTTTACACCAGACTAAATTCACCCATTTCCATTTAAGTCAACGTTGTAATGGGCTTGCATGTGATTCAAATGATCAGGTCTTCTCATCTCTTATTTTTGCATACTATTACTTTGCAGTTCCAAAATAATAAAAATGTATAAATACAATTAAGGCTGTGATTTCTTTTTTTAAAAACACTTTGCTTAATAACTCAAAATCAGCAGCATCATCCTGATAAAAACTTGTATTAGTTTGTGAAATTCATTATTTCCTGCCCTGTGCTGATTTTACAAGCCTGGAAAAAACTAATCAGTTCATTTAACACACTTATTTATTTGCCTACGTGAAGCCATTCTCAGGTTTTCTTGTACAGATTCCTGTTAGATTTGCTCTTCAATCAGGTCAGAACTTACTGGGTTCAATGTTTAATCTGGTTCCACTTCCAAAGATGATTCTATACGTCGATCCAGTCACACAGCATGAAGCTCCAAACCAGAAAGTCAGAGCCAGCAACTTAACCATACTTCATTTAGAAAAACTTCATGTTTGAGACTTTTAAACATGACATGGAAGTCTTTGTTTTGCAGATGATTATCGCCACTATTTTATTTTCTATTCTGATTTTGCATATATGGCATAAGTTTACATTTTAAGCTGCTCAACATGAATAAAGTTAGCATTTTAATTTTAATTTTAGTTTAGCACTTACTGGATTCAATGGTTAATCTGGTTCCACCTCCAAAAATGATCCTGGCTTGACTTCCAACAGCCACACAACATCAAGCTCCATAATAAAAACTGAGGCAAACTCCATGTAGAAAAACTTTTAGAGATTACAGATTTCTATCTATTTAAATGTCACAATGTTAATACAAAATAAGGGTTATCAATACATATAAGACTGAGACTTGTTTTAATCATGACATTGTCATTTAATTTTGATTAAATACAGCTGAGATGTTAATGCAAAGATCATTTTAAATCTTCACATTATTTATTTATTTTTAATTAAACATTGCAGCTGTTTAATTCCTCATGTGTAATCCACACTTTATATTTCAGACTTTTACTTGAGTGATGAATTGAAATGATGAAGCCGCATATATTTTGTAAATTGAAGAGAAAATGACGTATCTTCCAAAAGTATGTTAACAGCTGAATATGGCAGTAAAACAAAATAGGGCTTCTTGTTTTAATTTTGTGACATTAACGTGCAAATAACTTAATATATATGTATATATGTACATACAAAAGTATGTTGACTGTATATAAAATTCAACTTTACTGTACTTTTAAAAAATGTTAAATATACGTCATAATAATTATGTTTTACTTACTGGATTCAACAATTAATCTGGTTCCACTTCCAAAGATGAGCTTATATGTACCAGTATTCACACAACATGAAGCTCAATGACACAAACAGAATCCCGAACTGAACCAAACTCCATTTAGAAAATCCTTAATTTTACATTTAAGAATTTTGACTCCCATAAACAAGCTGCTGTTTGTACATTTTAACATAGATGTGGATTTGACTTCATAAACATTCTTACTGAACTGTTTTAGTGAGTATTTATGATAGCCTATTTTTAGACTAAAAAAAAATAGACTGAAAAATCGACTGAACAAACAAATTGAATTCAACTTACTGCCATCGACTGTTTTCAGGACTATTGCCAAGTCTATTTTTAACTGGACCAGTCTTCAACACTTTCAGTTGTGTCCAGTCTCAAGGTCCACGTTTATCACATGTGGACCAAGAATTTCCAATAAAAATAAGTGTCACGTTCAGATTATTATCAGGTTTTCCCCACAGAAGAAACTGAATTTAACTCACTGTCATTAACATGTAGTTTAGTGCCGCTTCCAAAGATGATCTTGTCGTATGTCACACAGTCTGAAGCCTCAGCACATAAACTAAACTCCACATTTCACACTAGAACCAGAA